AAAAAAAAAAAAAAAAATGTGGATTGGGAAGCTCTGCTCCAATAAGAATAATTTTGGAATGCCTAGGTTTCTATTGCTGACACAGAGAGACATCTTCTGTTTACCCTTATGCTCTTCAATCCTACATCATGGATTTCCTTTTCAGTGCACTTGCAGCACATTAAGAGTGACATCCGTGGTTCTCATGTAATGTGACGAACTTCATGATCTGCCTGCTCATCCATTGCTTTGGGGGTTTGGGGAAAATTTGGGCACATTTCTAGGGATTCCTCTTTCAAGTCTTTTTTTTTTTTTGAGTTGGAGTGTCACTCCGTCACCGACTGGAGTGCAGTGGCTGCTCCCAGCCACTGCGGCCTTGACCTGCTGGGTTCCCGCAATTCTTCCGCCTCAGCCTTCCAAGTAGCTGGAACTATAGGTACATGTTGCCACACCTGGCTAATTTTTTTGATTCATTGTAGACGTGAGGTCTCCCCAAGTTCCCTAGGCAGGTCTCGAACCCACAGGGTCAGGTAATCCATTCACCTCAGCCTCCCAAGCGCGGGATTACAGGTTGAGCCACCTAGCCCAGCTTAAGTCATTTTTTAAAGATATGTTAACCGGGCTAGGTAGTTCAGCCTGTAATCCAGTGCCTTGGGAGGCTGAGGTGAGTGGATTGCCTGATCCCGCATGTCCAAGACCCGCCTGGGCAACTTGGTGAGACCTCATCTCTAAAATAAAAAGAAAAAAAAATTAGCCGGGTCTGGTAGCGCACACCGGTAGTTCCAGCTACTTGAAAGCCTGAGGTGGAAGGATCACCGGAGCCCCAGCAGGTCGAGGCTGCGTGACCATAAGCGGACACTGCACTCCAGTCTGGGCGACAGTGAGAGATTCCAACTCAAAAATAAAATAAAATAAATAAAAGATCTGTTTATGTCTCATGACAAGTATATAAGGGAAGTAGCGGTGCTATTCGGAATTGGTTCAGAAACCTCAGGAACACAAAATACAGATTAGTCATGTTTCCTGCATTATAATACCAGTTTGGTATTATCCAAACATAATGCTAAAGGAGTTTGGACCAAGTCATTTTATCTGGGTAAAAAGCATTTTATTAAATTTTTGACAATGTATGTTTATCTTAAAGTTTTTATTTTCTTACTATCAACTAACCCTAGAAATTTTTTGTTTGTTTGTTTTTGAATTGGAGTCTCACTCCATCACCCAACTGGAGTGCAGTGGCATGCTCCCGGGCACCACAGAGTTGACCCACTGGATTCCAGCAATCCTTCCACCTCAGCCTTCCAAGTAGTCAGAAATACAGGCGCACACGATCATGTCTGGCCAATTTTTTTTTTTTTTTTTTTAGTTGGAGTTTCATTCTGTC